TTCCTAAGATAAGCGTGATACTGTGAAAATTCATTAAGAATACCAAATTGTAGATTTTTGCAGATGTGCATTCTATTACTGTAATTGTTTAATATGAAAACTCTTTTTTTCAAAATGTATTAATGTTGAAGAACATAAGCATTAAATATACTTTGGTTTAAAGCCTTTCATTCTCGTCAGCAGCATCTGGGTGGTCTATAAAAGTAGTACATTATAATGTGGGGATAGATAATACTGCTGGATACGGAATGATTATTTTAGACACCAAGACTAATAATTTTAACAATATCTCAACATTGTAGAAAAGGCTTGAACCATACTAGCACCCGGGACAGACAAGCATGAAAGATTAATGTAATTTTGCATATAATGATGCACATTCTTACACAAAAAATCCATCTGCAAGTGTCATGTCAGTCAGCAGAAATCTTTGATGGGTGGATGCAGCTGGGCTGTCTCTTCTGGCAAAGCTGCCCTAGAAAATGCTAAATGTGGTTATGATGCTTTGTGCCATCTGTAGTATGCCAGTTTATCCTGTCTTCACTGGCATTTACACTACTACATAGGGCATGAACAACCACAAAGATGGCAATGTAGAGTGACAGATTCATTTACTCCAGAGGCTACAGACTCTGGTGTATACTTGTGCCACCCTCCTCCCTATGTTCTATGCTGTTATTGCTGGTATTTGGCTTTATTTCACATTTCCATATTTAACTGTTCATATTTTTAGTTAGCGTTTTGCATATTCTATGCAAAGCCAAATGAATGCGATTAGTATTCAAATGATTTATGTCTAAATGAAGATAGGCTTAAATTTTGTTGAGAATTGGCCAGCGTGGAAACCTGTATTTTTTATCTTTAAACAAATAATGTTTGTCTTACCAATTTAAAAGCATGAACTTTAAATTAAAAAATGACTGTGTATGGAATATAGTACAGTAACAAATTACTGTAATTGAGTAGATATTTGACTTGTATTCATAAAGCTATGAAACATTCAAGCTATTTAATATATTTAATGATCAGAAAATAAACCATCAAGAAAAAATTTTCATTTATACTTTTATTATATGTTCATGTCTAAATAATGTATGTTAAGTTGTTGAGTGATTTATTTTTCAATTTTTTAGTATTGTAATGCTTGAAATATCTTCCATAGTAACTGAATACAAAGGACATGCTCTCTCAGTACTTAAAGAATGTGAACTCCAGGCATTTGATGGGTAAGTTTGGTATTATATAGATGTAGATACAGATACAGATATAGATAGTATATAGTGATATATGTATAATCAAGTGATGTTATTCCTATGACTTTTGGTTAATATAGAGAATTCCTCTTGGTAGAATTTTAGATTTAATTTATTACTCTATTTTCGGGTATATATTTCAATAAACTTTGGATCGGTACTTGGCATGTACAGCATGACTGAGTTTTCTTTTCTCTTCAAAACTTATCTTAGAAACTAGGTTTGTTGAACATGCATTCATTGATAATTTTATTACTCAGTCCTAGAAAATAACTGTAAGACTTCTTAGTTTTCTCTCAAGTCAACCTCCTATATTTTGAAAAATTACACAAATGCTATACTTTAAATTCTTTCCATACCAATAGTTCCTAATGTGAAGTATAATACTTTCCCTTAAAAAGACTATATTTAAAATAGGCTGAACATTTTATTTTCTTTTAAAAATTTTAAAGAACTGATTCAAAACAAGTAAAGCAAAGGATGGAAATGTGTCCTGATTAGTTCAAAACCCTGCTTAATCTTGTCAACAATGCAGTAGGAAAGGGAACAGGATTAGGTTTTCTATGAACAAAGTGATGTTACAGGACATGGAAGTCTGAAGCTAATTTTACAGTTGTGAGTGGATTTTTTATTTTTCTAGATTCTTATTTTGAGTGAATCCACACAAGAAGGTTTAAGTAATACTTTGTAAATCTCAGTCATAGTTCTAAAAGTTGGAGAATGAAAACTACTGTAATTAACTGACTGCAAAGAAAGGATATATATTTTTGTCTTTGGGTACATTTACTTGCCTAATTCACAGAGAAGGTCTCCTACAATTTATGACTGAGGCACCTTGTAGTGGAGGTTAGGAAGGCAGCTTATTGTACAGAAAGGAGACTTTACTTGGTCAGTTTTGAATCCTTTGTGAGATTTTGTTTCTAAAAGAAGGGTTGTCTGGTAAGTTAAACCAAAAATAGATTAAGATCTCTAAAATCAACTAAAATTTTTTTATATTGTGACATTTTTGTGACTTGATGAAGAAGTCTTTTCTCTCTTGCAGAGCCAGGTAGCCTCTCAGATCTGAACTCTTTACTCTTGAACCCATGGCTTAGCTGCCATTCTAAATTGGTTCTTTCTGCAGCTGGGATGTACAGAGAGGTTGCTGTGGCAGTTGCCTATTGACTACTACCTTTGTCATTATTTCACCTACCACAAAAAGCAATGTAAACAATGCTGGGAGGGTTGGGGGGAACAGTGCACTGTGTTGTCTTCCAAGAGTTCATGGTACTCTACATCTAAGAATTGTCTTTTTCTTTGCTCTTTATCAGAATTATAGGAGCAGCCTTGGCTTTGCCAAAGGCAATTCCCAGGGGGAAACAGAAGAAATAATCGTGGAAACTATGGTGAAGTTCTACAGGTCAAAAATGACACTGGCACTTCAAGACAAGAATATCCCATTTTGGGGAATTTTGCTTCCTCCAGATTATTTTCTCTAACGTGATGGACTGAAATCCTTATAGCTGGATTTGTCTTTGGGAAAGGAGGGTTTAAGTTGTTTTTAAGCTTACTACATAAACAGTTCCTTCTTCTTGGTAGTCAGATTGAAACTTATTGAAATGAGAAATACAAAAAAGGCATCTTTCCAGCTCAGCTTCTGTAGCCCCTGCCCTCCCAAAAATAATATTATAAGCACCCCTGAAGAGATGAGAAAACAGCAGTGTAACGAGGGGCAAGCAAGCAGGGCACCAGAACAGAAATCCCTGGAGATTCTGTGCTACCTTACCAAGTCATCACTTTTCTTGCTGCCAGATTCATTGTTGTCTGTTGTTCCCAGCAACAGGCACTGGGTACTGCCATGGCTGGGAGTCTCATCAGCTGTGAGACTCCCAGCTGCAGCAGTGCATGGTGCACTGCTGGGAGCTCTGTCAGATGATGGGGCTGCAAACCACAAGGGCATAGTTATGCTACCTGTTATAATTAAAGCTGGATAAAAACCAGTAATAAAGTTGTTACATATTTTCCATCTTTAAGTTCGTAGCTGGTTGCGTACCTGGTTAAAGGTATGCTAGTTAATTTGCACATGTAGCCAGTCTAAATTAATTTCACAATTACCCAGGTTATGCATGTAATATGTAGAGGGGGTCTCAGGTACCTTTTTAATGTTCTCTTTGAAGTTCCTTGGAGTCATGATCTAGTCCTCTAGTGCTGTCATTAGCCATGGATGAACTCCATGTATTAAATGTGCTTGTTTTTTTGTATGTTAAACTATTTTAATAGCAGTTACAGCTCTTCTGAAGAGTGGAGTTAGCAGCTTTTGAATTTTTTCCCTTTTCATTTTTCTGTTCATAAGAACTGATCCTTCAGTTTTCTCCCCAAATTATGTCCAAATCTGCAAGCCAGTTCGTTAAACTTAAATTATTTCATTTGAACCCTCTTGGGTATTATGCATTAATTTTAGTCAAATCCGAGCAGGATTCTGACAGAACTCCCAGTGCATTGCTCCATAGACAGGAACCAGCACTTCCAGGATCCTTGGTTTTGGGATATACCTGCCCAAGTTTGTCAGGGGAGCATTTGAAGCTCTAGATCCAGCCCTGGGGGAGACTGGTTGGCAGGTATATACTGGATATGTAGACTCTGAAAGCACAGGATCCTGAGCAGGGGACAGTTCAAATGGTGGTTCTGCCCTAATGGTAGCAATTTTGGAAGCATAGAGTTCCCCAATCCTGTGTCAGCTTACCTAGAGCCACAGCAGCTCTGGAGCAGATTGACTCAGGTCTGGGAATGCTGCATTCCTATGGTATCTGGTTCTATGGCCAGGCTACAACTCATAAGCTCTCTGCCAGAGATCCAGAAGTCTAAAAGCCCTGAGAGGCCCAGTTCCAAGGATGGACACTTGGGAGCCATGGCTGCAGGTAGGCCTGTTGGCATTTTCTGCTCTAGAGCTGAGGCTCTGATCCTTGAAGGCTTTAATTCCGATCCTTGTCGTCTAGTATCTGTTTGTGTTGTAGGGCTTGCCTATAGGGCCACAGATCCTGGGAGTCCTGCAGCCTTTTAGTTAAACTGATGTTCAGGTCAAGGCTTCTGTTAGTTTCAGGGTCAGATTAGCTTTTCAGTTTTGGAAATACCTTGTTCTGGTGTGTTCAAAATTAAATTTCCACATAATTTCCATTTAATTGGAAATTTGAAATGTTTTAGTCTGACTTGTACCAAAACCAAATTCACAAAAACAGCATATTCTATGAATAAGAAATTATGCTTTTTGGCTAGCACAAGCAGTCTTTTTAGTATGATGATCTTCAGATATTTTTACTGAGGAATGGAAACCAATTGCTCTCTTGCATGTTAATTTCTTCTCTGTAACTTGTTTTTTGTTTTCTTTTTACTAACCTTTTTAGTAGCAGTTACAACTGCTCTGAAGAATGGAGTTAAGAGGTGAATGTTTCTTAATGAAGCACCAGAAATAATGCGTCAGTAAAGAACTGTCATAGGGTAACCTTTTTCTTTTGGCTCCAAAAAATCTCAAACTGGAAAAGAGAAAGCCAAGGGATAGAGCCATTAGGGAGGTGTTTCTATTGACCTGCCATGTTTCTATCAACTATTATCCTAGCTTTTTTTTCAAGTGAGATGGAAACTGTAAGCCTGTGCCAGATGGATGGGGGTAACAAGGGAAAAACGGCTTTAGAAAATGTGAGAGAGAGAGAGAGGTTTTTATTTCGATAGGATAGCTTGAACTGAATAACTGTCTCTATACCAAGACACATTCTCAGATCTCGCCTAGGTTCAGAAGATAAATCAGCATCAGAAGCTTATGGTTCTTTACATTTTAAACATTAACTGTAACAAACTGGGAACTAAATACATTTTTGGTGGCTCTGGACATGTTATTTTTGTAGTGCTACGATGACAAGTGACAGAGCTGCCTGAAGGCCACACAGGATGGCAAAGGCTGACCTGACATTGGAGATGTCTTGGTCAGCCTTTCCCGCCACTGCAGCCCTCTCACCATTAGTGATCAGTGACAACGACTGATAGAAGTGCCTGCAGGTTGACTCTTTAATGCTCCCTGCAGAACCTGCCGTTTTCCCTCTCTCCCTCTTCCTTGGAGGACGGGCAGTAGGCAGACTGCTGCATGATACTGAGGGTCAAAGAGATCTGTCCTTGTATTAAATTTGTTGTGGAAAAGGTTCCCAGATCAAAGAAACTGCCATTTGAAACAGCAGCTCCTCCTTCCCAGACCCACCCTTTCTGTGGTAGATTGGTCACTTTTTCTAAGTGTAACAAACAGCTTGAACTTGTGGACATTTGCTTTTTGTCACTAAAATAGCTGGTATGGTAGGACAAGTGATCTGTCTAGGGTGTCGGACACATTTCAACATTGTTTGTTTGCTTCTCTGATTTTTAGAAAATTGGCAATGCCATGGTTGCTTTCAGTTCAACCAATCCAAAGCATCCCCCTTCTTCCCTACTAAGTTAAATGTGAGTGTTTATCCAGGCTGCTAGAGTATACTCCTCCTCACAGTAGTGGCAGACCCCATGGAGTAACAAGTATGAAGTTAATGCACTTGTGATACTGCTAGTCCTAGCAGAGCTTAGTGGGACCAATCTGGGCAGTCTGGAATGGGGCAGCGCAGAGCTGACCAGGGCCAATCAGGGCATGAGGCCAAAGCAGGGCCAGGCAAAGGCAGTACCGGCTCCATTCTGACACACATCCCAATCTGGCCCATAGACTGGCCTGATGCCACGTATTCTGCCCACAAGACCAAAAGATAGTGCCACTGGCCAAAACAAAGTGTCTTTTGATAATATATATTTAAGAAGAAAAAGCACAAACAAACAAACAACCTCGTCCCTATTTTGTTGCATCCCTTTGTGAACTTCTAGCTACTTGTCTTTGTCACTGCCCTGTGAAATCCTGGGGATAGTTTGCCATTCTTGAATGTCTGTCGTCAAAACAGATGGGGATGTTATAAAGGACCAAAGGTTAACCATAAAAACACGCCTCAATTTCTTGCATCTTATGCTAGGATGAAACTCATTTAAAGTGTTCCCATGTTGAAGTCCCTCACTGATAGATAACCATGACAGTCTACTGAAGATTAGGACAGTGGTGAATGTAACATAATCCTTCAGACGTTGATACTGAAGAACCAAAAGAGTTTTGACCATGCACCCCAGGGTTTTCACTAACAATTAGGTCTGAAGTATGTTTAAAAGTTTTTTGATATAGCACTGTAGCAGGGCACTAAGATGTCTGCTACTTAGAAAGCTGGAGTAGTGGCTCAGGTGCTGGTTGCTAGGGGCAACCAGGAGGCACTAAGGGCCCACACCTGGTGAGTCAGCTGACTGGAAGGGGCAAGGCTCACTACTATAAGACACAGCCTGGAGGCTGTGAGTGCTCTCTTTCTGCTGGCAGCCAGGAAGAAGGAGTACTGCCTGACTAAGGGAAAGAGATCGGCCCTGAATGTGGGAAAAAGAAAAAGGCATGGATGTATAAGCCGCTAGTTACACGGGTGAGAGATGAGGTGTGGTTTGGAGAATGAGGTTTAGCTTTGTGTTATAGCCCAGGGGTTGTGTTATTGTTTTTGTTGTTGTTACACCAGAGGACCAAGTGAGGCTATTAGGGGTTGGAGGAGGCCTCACAGGGGCTCCACGGTAGCCCCTAATAGCGTAGCATGGGGACCCCAGTGCCAGAGAGGGCACAACATTCAGGGGAGCACTGACCCCAGCCCTGAGAAGGGGAGCAGAGGATTGGGGGGGGAGGCAGGTAAGGCCGAGGCCGCCTGAGCCCTATAGGAGGTTTAAGACCCGAGGAGGAGAATTAGGGGGGCCAGGCACGGCTATGGCCACCTGAGCCCCAAGGCCCCAAAGCGGGCAGCGTGAGAAGCCCCAGAGTGGGGGCAGAGATTGACACGTGCCAGAGAACACGGTTGCGAGGCAAGCCAGAAGCGCCTGTGGGGTGCGGAGAGTGAAATCGACCAAACAACGTCCAGTACATCTGCGAGGCTTGGGGTGTGGTACAGGGGTGGTTGGAGCCAGGCGTAGCCCATAATGCTGGGGTGTCCGAAACCCCATTATAGAACTGAGCCGCAGGGGGAACCAGCAGAACCGTAGCCAAGAGAATGAAGGGCAGCCTCCCTACGTAACTACAGAACATCAAAGATATGGCGGGTGAGATTGTGAGGGTGCTTTAACACCGACTTGGCATGGTAGGGGGTACTAGGGGAGATCACGGCCACCCCTAGGACCCCGCACTGTTACAAGCACCTTAATTGTTTTGATGTGGGCATTTTTATTCAGAACATTTTTTAAACCAGTGGTATGAGTTCAGCAATGGAGAAAGAATTAAGAAAAAATTATGAGAGAAGGGGAATATCAAAGAAGTATAAAAATCTATTTTAAAATAATATGGCAACATGCATTTTCTTTTTTATAACTTACCATTGTAAAACTGGCTGAATTACTGGATATAGTTTGAAGAATACAATAGAACAAATACAGAACAAGCCCAGATTTCAGTAATGTTTCTAAAGTAAATATAACTTTTATTTTCAGTCTTAAGCATCCTCATAAGATTGTCTGGTCTGTTTCATAAGATTGTCAGATTGTTGGAAAACTCATTTTTATTATTCAAATATGTTTATCTTGGAGAAACTGCCATCAACATTCATATGCTTTGTTTTGTAAAACTGCTTTAATAGCTGTTTAAGGAACAGAGAAGATACTAGCCACAGCAGTGCTTTTACAGACAAAAACATTCTCCTATATAGGCACAGCAGGTGGGAGTTTAATTACCTACTCCAGAAACAATGATTAAGTACCTTCATGCAAAGGACTGCTGGTAGTAGGGTTTTATATCCTGGAATATCCCTCAAGTGTCTGCATAAAGTGTGGATTAGTTGGTTTTTAGTTTTGTCCAAAATATTTTGGGAAACCCCATTATATTGTCAAGTAATAAACAGTGAAGCATGTTTATGGCTTAGTCTAAGAAAATGATGAGGACTTTATCCTTCATCGTAAGCACGTGTACTATCAGATTAGTCTCCTGGCTACAGTCCTTCACACCTATTTAAACTATCTTGGATACTTAATTGATAGCTTAGAGTTGTTAGATATTTATGTACATGCAATAATTGTTTTTACTCAGAAGTCCAAAGAAATACATACAAGAGCAGAAATAAGAATTATTTACATCTGTGTTGAGATTTTAGAATAGTTGATGCAACTGTGAAAACTGATGTTTTTAGGACGGCAGCACACAGCTATAGTTATTTTTATGCTACTATCTCTCTCTGTTTTTGTAATTAAGTCTTTTACTTTTGAACTTATAGCACAACATTTAGGCGTACATCAAGGTGACAATTGTCTTAATTGGAGTTGGTCTGTATTAATGTGTGAAGGCAGAATTTGAACGTCTGGCAAAGTTATTCCCATTAAGCACTACGTTTCTGTAGTTATTGAATCTCAGCAATGTAAGGTTCACACAGGCCATGCCAGTATCCATATTGTGGATGTAGTTTTAGAGCCAGATGCAGATTGGGTCTGTAAGTGCTTTAATGAGACTTATGTGACTTACATTAATTTTAGGTAGATGAGTTTCAAAGAATGATTCATATTGGCTCTATCCAGTGGCCAAAAAATACATTAGATGGCCAGGTTTATTTGGTGCCCCCACTTTTAGACTACAGAGTTCCCTACACTTTTGATTTGTGCCTGCTTGGAAGCAACCCACTTTGAGCATGTGGATTCAAAAGTTCTTCCTACACTTAGCTGTGATCAGTGTGAGCCTGGGAAAACACTTAAACACTACTGGGGTCCCTGTTATGTGTCCTTGGAGCACATATCAAATCACATGATAACTTTTGCTCAAAAACATGAAGGTGGGGAGTTGGTAGTTTCTACCTTTTTCATAGTAGTATGATGGTTCGAGCACTCTTCAAGGAAGTGTTAGACCTCATTTCTGTGCCCATTCGGCCTGAGGACATTGAAGTCCACAGCTCTTACTTCTCAGGAGAGTTCCATGAACTGAGCTTACCTGACCTGGAAAAATTTACTGTGGTACCAGTTGACATAATGTTGCCCTTCTTGGGGGCAGCTGTTCATTTGTGCTGTTCAAGTTGGTTATATTCATGCTTTTGCCCACTTTTGAGTAACTCTATTTGTGTAATTTTGGCCTAAGAATAGTTAGGCCTCTGAGATGGCAAAAGGCTCCATGGAAATGTGACACCGTGTATGCATGCATGCATTCAGTTGATTGTGGAAAAACGCAGATCGTGTGGTTTTCGGTAGCAAATACAAAACCAGAATCCCTGATGATCAGGGTCCTGGTAGCTTTGAACTGTAATAAATGTATCAAAAAGTAGGAATCAGTGCCTTATAACAATTACAACATTTGCATAACTTTTAGTAATCATAGCATGTTATGTTTTCTTATTCATGCTTAATTTTAATGACTTCAGAGTTTTCAGCTTTTTAATGTTTTGATATATTATGGTTTTGGATTAGGTTAGTAGGATTATTGAAAATCACTTTGTATTACAGTATATTTTTATGGCCATTGCAAGTCAGATTTTGTGCTTACTAATCTGTTATCATATCTGATTGATATAGAACTAAGTATTGAACATAGGAAATCATTTTTCATTATCAACTATACACAGGTTGATTTTTGTGTGTGTGTGTGCAGTTACAAAACTTACATTTTTAAAAACTGGTTTGGAATACATGTACGTATGTGGAGGATATGCATTTTTTTCCTAAGGACAGAGTGATTTTTAGGCATTTGAATTGTAGTTTTCAAAATAATCACAACATGGCAATTGTCTTGTTTCATTTTTGATGAACTATAGTACAAGACAAAAATTTTATCTTACACCATTGAATCTATTCTCTGTTTATAGGGTAGTTTGTGTTGGTGGAGATGGATCCATCAGTGAAGTGGCCCATGCTCTACTACTAAAAGCTCAGATGGATGCTGGGAAAGAGACAGATTACATCCTTACACCTGTCAGAGCACCAGTTCCTCTTGGTATAATACCAGCAGGTGAGAGCAGAATATACTGATTCACTTAAATTGACTACCCATCTTAAATGTCTTTGGTATGTTTTAGAGTTTTAGCAACCAAAGTTTCCTGTTGAATAATACCTCTATGTTATTGATTTAGACTGACTCATAATTATGACAAAAGGAAGTCCTTCTCTGAGGAGGGGATCTCTGGAAGGGACAAACCTGATATCCCATACATCATCCTCAAAATGGGTTTTGTTCCCATAGCTGGTGTACCCGCTTAAGCTAATGCAGTAGGTGACATCAGTTGCGACTCTGTATAGGTTCAATAGTCTGACAAACAAAAGTCCAGCAGCTCTCAGTTCTATGCTGAGCTGGGTACCTGACTCGCATGCTGCCTTTTATGTGCTCCAGTCAGCATGTCGCCTTGGTTGTCTTTGCCTGAGGCCTCTGGGGCTGAGAACCCCTCCAGGTTCTTCATCTGCAGTTCTGGATGGATTCTTCCCCTCCTCCAGGATCACAGGTCCAAAGGAACTGTGGGGCTCTTCGGTCTGCCTCCGCTCTGCTCTTTGCCAGCCAGGTCTAAGATTCCAGGCAGGATTTTATCATGTCACTCCCTGCGTGCGCACCGATGCTCGGGGAGTAAGTACGTTTAAAATGGGGCTGTGGCTGTGAATGCTGCTTCGTCTCATAGGATCCTGCATCTGTAGGTAAGTCCCTCCCGTCACCAGCCCTTACCAGGCTAATTTCCCTTAGGGATTGGGGCCCCTCACCATGGTTTTTGCCCTTCCCAAGGGGTAAATGATTCCCTCAGTGAGTCATGCTGCGACGCCTTGGGACTAGGCCGTGTGGCAGATATTCAGATCTATCCCATTTATTCAAGACCCTGGTGTCCCCTCACTTCTCTTGCCACCAGCAGGCTTGGCAACAGACAGTTCATTTAATTTTTCCAGAGACTCCTCAAATGAAGCGGTCCTTGGAACCTCTGCAGCAAGCTACATAGAAAAACTGTGAAACTGAATGGACTTTCCCCTCTTATTTCAGCAGGATTGGAGAGATGCATTCTGGATTTTTACTATTCTTGTCCCATCTGCTCCTTTCCTTCACCTGACTTTTTTTTTCTGCCTATTCTTCCTTCAGATAGTAGGCCAAACAAGGACTAGAGACTTGTACTGGGTTCAGAGAGAGGGATGATATTACAGAGGTGGCTGAAGCATTTTCATGTGGATTTCTTTCCTCTTAGTGTGATTCTTGATAGCGTTTTTGATGCAGTTTTGCATTCTTTGTAGCTAGTAAGGAAAAACTGGATCTGTCTTTGTTGTTTTTTTGTTTTTTTCATTTTCTTATAACATGTTGAAGTAAAAGCATGAATTTTAAGAATTATTTCAACTATCCATATTTCTGTCCTTTTAAAATAAATTACTGTAGCCCTTTGCAAGCAGTATTAAAGTGCTTTACTTGCGTTTGCTTTATAGATTGCAAATAGCAGCAAAAACATTTTCAAAAAACACCATTTAAAATAAGCAGTAATTGGATGAAAAATGCTGGATTATACAAAATTTGTTTGCAGGTACAAAAGAACCTAGGGAAGGATTGGAGAGATGCTGGAGAGGGGACATACTAAATGGCAAAGAGAAAGGAAGCAGGGTTTTATGATTTACTCTTCCACAATGAAACGAGTGGGTGGTAAGTTCAAAACCAACCAAAGGAC